TCAACAAATTAAAGCTCACATTTTTACAAAACTGACTTACATATGTAAAAAGTCCTGAAAACTGTTATCTTAGTTCTGCAGACTGCTCAGAAAAAACAGTTTTGTCACAAACTACTCCCATTCATCTCAATGAGGCATTAGCTACAAAACCTAAAGGACTAACATGTTTGAAATTTTAACTATCCTACTAACAACTGTAGCATAAGCTTTCAACCAAAGCAGTTATTCTAACTGAATTACTTCCTACATTTCTAGGATTGTCCCCTAATGTAAGTTATATGATCCAGTCACATCATCAATACTGAAAAAACCCTTAATTTCCTAATATTCATGTCAGAGCATCTCAAGGATTGCCATTCAATCTAAAAATAACAATACTGAGATTTTTAGCATGAAAGTGCCTTTAAAATAAAATTATAAACTTAGTTTGTTCTCATTGCAAAATGCAGAGGCAGCAACACATCTGAACGATCACAGCTTAGAGTACAGAAATGATGTTTAAATCTGAAACTAGTACAAGATTATGTGGACCCAGGACAAGTAAAGAGGGAATGTACACATTCCCAGAGAGGCATTCCAGCACCACCTGGATTCTAATAAATCTTCAAATTATGCTACAGTTGTAAGCAGTTTTTGCAGTTACTCCCAGCAAACAGCAGATCCTCTTGACTACTTTGCTGTCATAATGAAGCAGTGCACTATGAACTGCCTCAAATCCCTTCCAAGGTCAATTAGAATGGATTTTGTTAAGAGCAGAAGTTAGGCAGGTAGGGCAGCACTGCAGAAGTCTCCCTTCAACACAGCTCCACATAAAGGTATTCGGGCTCCTAAAAAGATTGCAGGTGCATTAGTGTACTGAGCTGAAAACCGGCTGGAAGTGTCACTTTAAATGCCTTCAACTGAGAAGGCAAACAAAAAGAAAATGAAGACACTGCTGCAAATGAGTCCCCCTGCAACCCTACCAGAGTCTTAACAGCTGAGCTTCTGCTGTCCAGAGAAAGGTCAAGCAAGAGGAAAGCAACATGGTGGCATGAAGCACCAATATAACAAAGAGCTGTTACAACACAAGGAAGATGATCTCAATCAAAAAGGCAAAGTGCGGGAGGTCAGTGTGCTGGATCATGAATTTCAGAAATGCAAGCAATATCCTAGAGCTGTAAGGCAAGGTTTTATTACACATAAATCATTAGCAAGTCAAGTCAGTTTAGAACCTGTGTGACTGCTAGGAAAAGGGAAACTGTGACTTTCATTTAAAAAGGTAGTACTCACCCTACCTTGACTTGTCTTAGAAGAGTGTATAGAAGAAAGAAGCCAGAATGAGGGACAATGATGGTAAAGAGATTAAAAAAAAGCTGAAGAACTGACATACACACTGGAATTGGTGATAACCATTTAATTTTCAATAGACTGGAAACAGGAAGGATTAGACACACTGAATTACTGATAAAAGACTGGTCAACGTGCCAAAAGAGGTTTAGAAAAGTCATTTCTGACAGTTCCCGTCTTTCCAGTCAAGGGCTATCAGCTGTGAGATGGAAGGAGAAGGAACACCCCAAAGCTACAACAGTTTCACAAGTCAGGAACCAGGAAAAGCAAAACCAGACAAACAGCATAACATAAAGGTTAAGAGATTACATTAGACAAATCTGGATTAGAAACTCAGTATGTATTTAGCAGTGGAGATCTTCTCCAACAAACAATACAGAACTTTTCAAGTCAAAATTTAATGTCTTTCCTAAAACATACAGTTTGAAACTGGGATTAATGTGGGGACATCAAGGACCATGCTGGGCAGGGGATTGGATCAGATGGTCCAAATTGTACTTTACAACTTCATTAGTTTATCACTAACAAGGAAAGAAGGTATTTGTATTTTTTACTACAGTGGGCAAGGAAAGGAGTATACAGAAGACAGGAATTCTTTTTAAATTCAAAGTCACACCAACTCTTCAGTTGAATCTGCTTTTGAGAATACAGAAGACTGATCCTCCAGCCCAAGTAAACTATTTCTCACAGGGCCATTCTTTCACCTCTTTTTCTAAACCAACTGCATTGCTCGCAGAGCCTATTTGCAGTTTCTTACCCATTTTTCCCACCCCAAGAAGTTGAGACTTGTGGCTCTTAAAGCCATCAATAGCTTTTGCAAAAAAGCAGTTTTAGAACTCAAGCTTACACATTTCCAATGCTATCACTGTCACTGAATTAGATACCTAATATTTTAAACAGTCCTAGACAAGAAAAATCAGAGGCTTCTATCAAAAGAGACCAGACCAGTAACCTGGTTAACCTCAGCAGGCAAATTCCACTGCTGGAAGCAGAGACACAGGACTGTTGTGAAACATGCTGCTAGGGGCTAACGGACATTCTCTTTCTCAAGTACCTTCAAAATCTGTCAGTAATGGATCCTCCCCTGTAGAAAAGATCCCAAAACCTGACAGTGAACACAGACTAGATTTTTTGAGAGCTTAAGTCAACATTAAGTGATTAGTCACCATCCTAGAAAGCTTCTTAATGAACAAAATTGAGACCCTGCAATGCTGATAGCATTTTGCTCTGAGTAAAGCCTGTGGCGCTCAAGCACACTACCTTAGTATTGATGCATGGAAGATCTAAAGTGTAGCCAAGAAAAGTGTACCACATTAAGTATGTTCTTCCTTTTTCTCTTAATATATGTAACACTGTAAAAAAGGCTTCTGTCACCAATCAGTATCAGATTCACTCTCACAGCATACGTTTGTTTTGCAAACCCAAATTACTTGGAGGCTATGAAGCAGATACTGCCCTCAAAGTACCATGAGAATTTACACAAACACACTAGTTTTGGGTTTTTTTGGTTTTGTGTTTTGTTTTTTTTCTTCAAGAAGGCAAGATGTTCACACCCAGAGGCATTTTGTTCTGTAAGTGTTCTCCTCTATTCAAACAAGGGAGTGCAAATAAGCAGTGACTTCTGCTTATTCTAAGTTGATAAAACCAAGGCATTGTCCACGGCTCATTTTGAGCATGGTCCCCATCATCCTTCCCTTTCAGAGATGCCCATCTTCCAGCTCCTTCAAGGCATCCAGAAGGGCCCTTCTACATCTTAGTGCAAGGACTCTGCTCTACAGACAAGTCACTAATCATCTGGTTCCTGAAGCATTTAAAATTGTATTCAGGTTATTGTAAATTCCGTAACAGTGCAGCAAGACTGAAAACTGTAATTTAGAGAGCTATATAGTAGACCAAAGACCAAACTCGGATGAAGGCAGAGGTCATGCTATAAACTGAATGGACTATGATCAGAATCCCCCAAGAAAAGTAGCCTGGTACTATTGACCAGGAGAATCTCAGTAAGCCCACTATATTCTTTGGCACATGGAGCAGTTTCAAAGTATTCCTTCTACGGGATGTGAATTGGAAAATAAAAAATGAGGGGAAAAACACCAAATTCCACACAGGCCATCATCTACTCTACCTCCTTTGACTACAGCATGGATAAAAGAAATAGCTGGATGGTTTTGAGAACCTACAGAAGGAAAGAAAAATGAAAATTTAGCTAAATAGTCACTGTGATGTCAATGCTCATATTTCAGTATGCATTAAGCACAAGTAAAAGCAAAAGAGAATGCTCTCTAATTACTAAAATTTGGTATCAAGATCAAGTAAATAGTCATGCAAACTGCTGGTTTACAGGATCATAGATCACAAGAAAGATTTTTACCTTTCATAAATTCATTCTTAAGTTCAGGATCCTTGGATCTAATGTCTTTCAAGATAAAACTAAGATGGCACTCTTGGGGGGAAAAAATCCAATTCCTCTAGCCTGTTTGTACACTTGTATTATACACTGAAACAGTCATAATTCAGAAAAAAGTCAAAACTGAAAGGCAACCAACAACATTGACTAAATACACCATGTATAATTATGATTTTGCAGAATTTACATATATTTTTAAATTCTCTGTTGTTCTACAAACAAGCTCTATCACAACCGTCTTTAAGTAGGTTGTACACATGATGAAGTCTCCATTTTACGTGAACCGATATTTAATTTTAATCTCTCCCAGGTGAACTTTATAAGTTCAGTATTTATAAAATTTCTGGATTTGAGTGGCCAGTGTCTTTTCAAGTGACACTCAGCATCTCTGGCAAGTTTTGAGGTTTAAAAGTAAACAAAGGAGCTTAACATGTCAAATACCTACAGGTATCCATTTTGCTTCCCACATTTGCAATTCCACCTTCACCCCCTCATTCCCATACATTTGCTGTCCTATTTTCTTATTTAGTCACTAATAAAAAATACACTGCTTAGGCAGACTAGACTTATGTCACAGTATATTTTCAGTATTGGTCTTCTGCCCTCTTTTTACCCGATCCTTATATTAACAGCCTCAGACTCCCAGAAGCAGCTGAATACTGTAATTCTGCTTAACTGGACATGGTGGGTGCAGGCAGCAGTCATTTCCTGAGCTAGGAAAGTCTGAAAGGGCTACTAGGTAAAATACAGCGTTCCCCTAAAATGCATAAACATGTTAGAGAAATAATATAATAAACATTATTTCCATAGTACCATTGTTAGTAATATTCATAATAGCATCGGTAAACTATTATACTCTGCTAAAAAAAGTTACAAAACCTGATAAAATCAGACAAAATTCAGTTTCTTTTCAGATACAGTATGCCTAATCCCATCCCATTCACCCCTAAAGAATTAAAGCATGTGACTCAAATGTAAATTTAGGAAGGTAGACTATGAAAGTTATATTTAAACAACTAAGTGGGGAAAATTTGAGAAGTAGTCAGATTTTTAAACTTAATCTTTTTTAGCAAAGTATTACCACAAACAGTGGTAAATTCCTCTCCAGGCTCCTGACTTAATCTTCTCTGGATTGCAATGTATAAGCCCTCCTTTGTTGGCTTCAGTATTTCAACCCCTGCTGATGTGTCAAAAACTGTGAACGTTAGGCAAAATACAAATATGCAGCATTGTATCACATTTTTTCCTTTTCGCTCTTTTCTAGAAGATGACAACAGATATGATAGAGAGCAATAACACCAAATCCAGTGCTCCCCTCCTGACCCAGAGATACCTGAGGATGGTGACCAAGGATGGACACAGCACATTCCAGATGGATGGTGCTCAAGGAAAAGGTCTGGCATACCTCCGAGATGCATGGGGAATATTAATGGACATGCGCTGGAGATGGATGATGCTTGTCTTTTCTGCTTCTTTTGTCATTCACTGGCTAGTCTTTGCAGTGCTTTGGTATTTGCTGGCTGAGATGAATGGGGACCTGGAGCTGGACCATGATGCTCCACCTGACAACCACACTATATGTGTCAAGTACATCACCAGTTTTACAGCTGCTTTCTCCTTCTCACTGGAGACGCAACTCACAATTGGTTACGGCACTATGTTCCCAAGCGGGGACTGTCCCAGTGCTATTGCACTGCTTGCAATACAGATGGTCCTGGGGCTCATGCTGGAAGCCTTCATCACAGGTAATCCTTCATATTTAATCTTTAAATAGAATAGGTGTAACAATTAGATTTAAGAAATGGAGCTAGAAATAAATAGTGATCATATTAATATCTGAAAGAACAATTAAGTCAGTCACTACAAGGATGATGAGATTTCAGCTATGTAATAGTAAAAGTTAAGCACCTTTCATTAACAAAAGACTAAATTAGGCGATATCAAGATTTGGACTTGAGAGTTCTGTTATTCATTGGACAATACTTGTGGCAGATCCCCACTTATCACTCTCAAGCACTTATTTCTTATACCATTATCGCTCCAAGTTTTTTCTATGGAATTATAATATTTAAAGTCACTCTGTTTTGATTTTAAGGTTTACTTTTGTCTAGCTGAAATATTTTTGTTGATCTTTAACTCAGTGTTTAAGTATTCCTCAGTACCCGGTGTAATGAAAGTTTTTACAATGTCACAACTATTTCGAGGTATTTTAAGTTATTTAAAATAATTTTCAGGTTTAAAGTATTTCAAAAGACTTTAAAAATACACAGGTTAGTTTACTGTGTATTAAGAAAGAGCTTCTCCAGTGGTAGCACACCAAGATCAGGTACTATTACCAATTACAGTAAATCGGGGCAAGCTAACAGCTCTCCTTCCTACAGCTACAGTTCACTCTCCAAATATTAATAAGTGAACATAGCTTAGAAAAAGAAGTATTTTAGGAAAGCTATACTTTTTTTAAAAAAATGGGTTAGTGTGATGCCAGCCTAGCAATGTTCAAACATGTAGACTGAGGCTAGAAAGACCATGTCCACCCAAGACTGCTTCTTTTCCTTTGGACTGTTTCACAGAGCTCGGAGGCTGCAGGGAACCAACCCAGGCACGGTGCTCGTATTCAGTTTGTTCTTTTCCGTGATGCAGGTGCTTTTGTGGCAAAGATTGCCCGACCAAAGAATCGGGCGTTCTCCATCCGCTTCACCCGCTCTGCTGTAGTGACACACACCGAGGGGAAGCCATACCTTATGTTCCAGGTGGCCAACACACGCTCCAGCCCACTGACTAGCATCCAGATTTCTGCTATACTTTACCAAGAACAAGAGAATGGGCAGCTGCACCAAACTAGTGTTGACTTCCACCTAGACAGTGTTACTTTGGATGAATGTCCTTTTTTCATCTTTCCACTGACCTACTACCATTCAATCACTCCATCCAGCCCCCTGGCTGCTCTCCTCCAAAGAGAAGCTGCTCACCATTTTGAGCTGGTCATTTTTCTGTCAGCTGTGCAGGAAGGCACAGGAGAAACATGTCAAAGGAGAACATCCTACCTCCCCTCAGAGATCATGCTGTACCATCGCTTCGCCTCCATGCTAGCCCGCAATGCCAAAGGTGAATATCAGATCAAGATGGAGAATTTTGACAAGACTATTCCTGAGCTCCCAACTGTGGCTGACTCAAAGGGTCCAAAAAGGACTGACAAGGAGATCCGCATCAATGGACAGCATGCCGACAGCTTCCAGCTCTCCGAGACTGGCCTCACAGAATAGAGAGAACAGACTTTGAACTTTGTGCTTTTTTAATTATTATTACATTAAAATTTCAGGTTCCATTTACAACCTTCCTTCCTTGCAAGCCCTGCCATCTTCTAGTGATCCTTCTCTTGTATTCCCATCCTTTTGATTACAACATGATATGCAGAGTAAAGAGAACTGGTATGCCCATGTAAGCTGAGGAGGGGCTGGATTAACCACCCAGGACGAAGTCAGGTACAAGAATCACAGTACTAATTCTTGGAAATTAAAAGAGCTACCTGCTGAATTCACCAGACTATGATTAAAGCTGTACTGACCCTGAAAGGAAAGACCTTCAAAACTCCCAAAGCTGACCAAAATCATCATTAACCAGCTTGTGACAAAATGGACAATACAAAAGAGAAGTATCAGTCAGAACAAATACGGGGTCATTCAGTAAATACATTAGTTCCTGGATATGCAACTCTGTTCATCCAAGATCCTAATTTTTCTGTTCTCTTAACTCTTTGGGGATACAGAGTTATATCAGTTTTCAGATGGCTGAATTCACTCTTAAAAAGTACTGTCGATCTCTCATGGCAGTGAAAAGCACTCCTGCTGGGCTTATTAAGCAAAACTGTAATACTAACTGTAGTTCTTCATTCTGCCAAATAAGAGAACACCTCATTTCAGGACAGGTCTATGAAGATACTATCAAAAAAATCTTGATGTATATGACAAATGCTGCAGTGGAAATTTTTTCATATTTGGAAACACTGAATAAATTATTTAGCAGTGGAAAACAGACTATTCTAAATGAATTAATGTACTTTTCTTTTTTTTAAAAGGACCATACATTCCACACATTCTCACCTTTGCGCTGCTTGTCTCAAGTAGATCTGACCCAGAAGGATGCACTATATACACAAGAAGTAGAACTGCATCCATTTATATTTTATGCTTTTTAGCATCAATATTTGCCTGTACACACAGCATAAAAATATTTAGACACTTGAATCAATTTTAAAATAAAAAAATTAAAACAAACTATACATGAGACTTTGTATTTAAGTGCCTCATAAACCTATTGCAATTAAGACACCGTTCCGAAGCTCCTAAATAATTTAAGAAGTTAAAAGGATAAACAGAACAATGGATAATTATTTCCAAGCTCTCAACAAAAGCAGTGCCTATTACATGTTGATACTTCACATACAGTCAAGTATCAAAATAAAGTAAAAGTTATCTTTCAAAGGTAAAAGACTTTTCCCAGAAACCAAGATGGCATAAATAGCAACTTTCATTGACAACAGCAAAATACACTACCAAATACGCTTCCTTTTAACTTCACTGAAGTGGTCAGCAGCAGGAAAAATGGTCTCAAGCTGTCTGATGAGATACTGTTTAACTGAATTCTTCTCAAGCCCCAGAACTCTGTTAACTGAAGTGTGTTCACAACCTGAAAGAGGTTAGCAAAAAGCTACTTTGTTTTAGGGTCTGAGGAAATGGGAAGCAGCCCCATAGAAGCATTTCACACAGGGAAGGGGAACGAGGCAGAAGGCCCACGTTTTCATTGCAATTCAGCTCTCGTTCCAAAATTGTTCAAGTATTGCCTCCCCACATTCCAGACCTCAGACAGATTTGGTTTTATCACAGATACTCTCAAAATCTCTTTTTTAAAATTTAATTTTATGTAAAAGCATTCATTAACATTGTGGAGCTTGGAGAACAACACAGTATCAAGTTACGTTGCCTTCATCCCTACTTTTCTTATCTGTTGACCCATATGCAGTCTAAAGATCCTTTTTCCACCCTCATATCACTACCAATAATTTTTAAGTATTCCTTGCAAGTGTTATTTCCATGTTCTCGACCAATATAACACATTGAGAAGAGTCCTACAAATTAAGAACCAGTGCAAGAGCAGTAGGACAGATTCCTGAGTCAAGTCTGAAATAACCGTTTAGGAAAAAGGAGCAGTATTCTTTGCGAGGTATTATTTTTCCCATAGATCACATACTCCAGTCTCAGACAAACCAATTGTTCTAAAATTCAGATGCATCATCCCAACAGGATGGTACTATAATCTCACCATTTAGAGCCAAAGCTATAAAAAGCTATTTCTAATTTCAATTAACGTCTAATGAAAGTGTGGGCTGCTTCATTTGGTTTCTAAATGACTTGATACTTTAAAGTTGTCCTTTTTTTAAATCCTTTTCTATTTATAGATTTGGTTTAAAAGGTGGTACAACAGCAAGTATAAAGAAAAAAAATGTTTAGTATACACTAAATGCAATCTTCAAATATTACATTTTGGAATGTAAAGCTGAAGAATACTACAGAAGCAAATTAGACAGACAAACACAACTGTGTAGTTACTTCAGAACAGCTGCAGAACAAAGGGTAGACAAAACACCCCTATTTGCTTTTACAGTTCGAGAACTGGTGAACCATGGATGTCTGAAAGTTCTGGAAATATGCCAGGGCCCAAATTGGAATGCAAGCCTAGAACAATTGCTGATGGGCTCTGATGCAACAAAATTGCACTCTATGCTTTGACTAAGGTTGCAAGAGCAAGCTGGTGATGAACCTTCTTTGGATGTATTTCTTGCTAGGGAGGTAGGGAAGAAAAACAAGCTAGGCAGACTAAGTGCAATTCAAAGAAATTCAACATCCTTTTTATAGTCACTTGAACACCCTTTTTATATTCAAGTTGTCTTAACCTAACCAAAAAATACACATTAAACAGAACTCAATCAGGTTCCACAACTGACTTACTAAATGTCTTGTTTAATCTACATTACAATTATTTACTACCAGTGTGTAATTGCTGCCAACTAATCAAATCCCCTCAGCTACCAAGCTGGTATTAGTCAAGAGGCTGCACAGAAAATTAAGCAGCTTTTGTGCAGTTCTAAAAGACAGCCGTGATCAAGAAAACAACTTGCTCATTTTCTTTGCTAATGGCCTCAGCCTTCCAGAAGTGATTTGGGTTCTCAATGAGGTCTGTCAGAACTGTGACAATCTGCAACGGAAACTCACAAATACTTTGTGCATCTTCAATTTACATACTGAAACTAGGAACAGGTATCGTTTACGTTGAGAATCAGTCAAATGTGAACTTGCAAACTGTTGTGAGCACTGAAAAAGCAATCATTAATTTTTAAGAACAATATGTTGATCATATTTGAGAAGTAATTCTTCGTTGAAGGTCTATTACTTTTTTAATCTCATGATTTTTAACTGAGGGGTTCTTGCATTGTCATCCATTATGAATGCCCGGAAGAGTTTAATATTTGATCTCTTATTAATTCTGTAATGTGATCACCCAGAACAAAGAATATGAAAAAGCTGGCAACTCAGTAAATTATGTAATTTGAGGCTAATCCAAGGCCCTAGGAAAGAGCAATGAAAAACTGAAGCACCATAAAATTAGAAAATAAAATCCCAAACTAAGGAGTTTAACCAGGATATCAGAAACCAATATATGCATCTGCTAAAGCATGTTAGCCTGAATTATAAACTGCGTGTCAATTCACTCCTTGATCTTTCTGTTTCCACTGCTTTGTGTGCTATACTAGTGCTTGGTATTAACATGGGACTTCTTTTGGCACATCTGTATCCCTACCTCACACTCAAAATATTTTGTCATTGGAAAGCCTTTACATAAAAGTAACTATTTGTTCATTAATCAAGGCTTGAGTCAAAACAGACCAACACCTTCTGTTAACATTTTTTTTATATTAAAACTTCAGAAAGATTGCAGGTCTCTTGCCTCTATCATACTGTGCTACAGAGCTTTTAGCCAAATAACAAACTTGGCTAAACAGAACAAGAGACTTAAGAGGAACAATCAGGTACTACAGAAAGCTTCATGATTTGAGAATAAGCACACCATTCCTCATAATGAACCAGGACCTCCAACATGCTCATGGGGACACCATCTTCTGTAGAAAATGGTTCACAGAAGATGCATTCCAAAGTCCGATATGCACTATCCTAGCTGAAGTATTAACACCCATGTTCAGGCAGAAATCAGCTTCAGTAAGGACACCTTGCATACTGTAAATTCTTCTCTATTTCAACTGATACATCTCATCCTAAACTGACATGCAATATTTTTATCACAGTCTTAATCAGAAATGTGGTACATTCTGTAGTCTGGATATGGAAGTGTTGTAATTTTATCACAAGAACAGGAAGGGGCTAAATAATTAAAACTGAATCAACTGTGGTAGATATTGCTTTTACATGTTTTTTTTACATCTTTTGTAAAAAATGCAGTACTGAAATCTCAGTAGTACTTATTGTTTCCTATTTTCATTTTTTTTCCAAAAGGTCTCTGAATATAAAGACACACTGAAAGTCCAAAGTTTCACTACTGGCATTTAAAGATGGACAATCTCAGACCAATCTCAAGTTATTTTCAGAAGTAACCTCTTTTTAAGGAAAACAATGAGGAAAACAAGTAACATCTTAGTTTTGTGTTAACTTTCAACTTAAAAAGCAGAAAAATAAAAACACTTTAAAATACATGAAAATCAATTCCTACATGGAGAGAGGATTGGGAGGGCTTTGAAAGCAAACATGGTAATTTGAGACTCCTAAGGCATGTGCCACCAGGGTAATCTGGAAGATTATTAGAGTGGCAACTTAAGCTACTCTCACTAAAAAAATATTGACAGCTAAGCAGAGATTAAAATACATTCCTGTCAACTTTTAATTGCAACTGAATCTCTTTGGTTTTGTTTGTCTTGAAATTCAACCTGCAATTGTGTTTTCTGACCTATGCTTTATCAATATGTTCACCAAGGAGCGTATTTAGCCAAGACTCCTTTGGCAAAGACCAAAAGATCCTCTGGGTCCTAAAAACACAAGACTCATTGTCAGCAAGCTTTTACTACTACAAAACCTCTCACTAAGCACAGCTGTGGTACACACATGTGGAAACATGCCATGGAGAAAGAACAAGGTCATACTGGAGAACAATCAGTGCATGATCCCACTAAGCAGAAAATCACTGCAGTTACCATATA